GGGGTAACTACAAGAATTGAGGAGGAGACTGAAGAGGCAACAATAACAGGTTGGGTCGAAGTAAAAATCGTTGGGAGGGCACAATGAAGTAATAATGATGTTATTTAGCAAGCTGTTCCCATTAGAGGTGGGGAGTAATGTGCTGTAAAAGGCAAATGTGTTCAAATAAGACATGCCCCAACAGGAATAGAGTCAAAGAAAATGAATGCTAAAGAACAGGAGCCCCTTCAGCCACTTCTTTGCCGGGGCACTGATGGGAACAAGAGTGAGAGACAATGCTATTCTCGTGTCCCCTTTCTCCTCGCATTTAGGAACTGCATTTTGTACTCTGTTTAGCCTTAGTGTTGTCTCAGCGGCAAACTTAGATGGTAACAATTACATAAACATTAACCTCAACAGGAAAATATTTCTCTTAAATTAAAAAATATAACTAGGAAATGCAGTGATATTAAACTTAAACAATACAGTTGCAGTAGGGTAGACTATGTCTACTCTACCATGTAGACATACATGGTAGTATGTTTGTCCTGACCTCCCAGAATCCATAGTTCAGAAAGCTCAAACTTCTGAAAATTAGTGTGAAAGTACATTCTACACAACTGAAATCTCAAACTCGGACTGATGTCCAAAGTTGCTATTACACACTCTGCCTTTGACCATGTTAATAAGCTGGTGCCTGTATTTGAGTCAAAATACTTGCTGTATACAGAAAAGCTACAGTGTCATTTATGGCCCCCCTACCCCTCACTGCATGTGATATCATCTAATGCCACATAGGGAAGGACTTCCACAGACAACACCAAAAAATAACTATTACTGTCCCTCCTTAAATAAATATTATATATAAAAAAAAGATCACCTAAAGAAGTAAATCTCTAAATCATAAGTTTTTGATATGTTTAAGTGGAAGATTTCTGATAGGAAAAGCTGGAGGTTTATTTAATTGAGATGATCCTATCTGACGCAGCCAACATGCCCCTTTGCAAATCTCCAAAATATCACAGATGTGGGAAATCAATGACAAAAAGTTAATTGTAGTGACATTAACGTATCTGTTTTGCACAAAAAAAGTTAGCTCACTTGAGAGAATTACTATCCTTCCGTCTAAAAAAATAAATCACATGTCAATCACAGTTAAAACAAACAAGGACATTTCATCTCCTATTAGCATATTATTTTAAAGCAGCTAGTCCATTTATCTGCATATTGCAATTTTAAAGGATAAAATAAGCTTTGTAGAGTGGTAAGAAAGGAAATCTAAAAGTATATGTAATTTAAAGACATCATACTGTCATTCCCCATATCTAGATTTTGATCTCAGTGATAAAAGCTTCATTACCGCACCAGCAAGACTCAAAACATGAGAGAAATCCATTTTCATCCTCACCATTGCTACAAGCACCAGGAATGTCTAACAGCAATTAACGGGGAAGCTGAGACTCTTCAGAAAATTTTATGTGCTTTCCTGTCTCATTTGCAAATTGGGGAGCATTGTTATATTCAGCCATCTTAGAGATAAAACTCACCTTTGTGTTTTAAACAATTAGAAAAGGCAAAAACAGAACACTGGTAGCCAGCTCATTTTTAATAGTCAGTAGTGAAAAAAGAAAATCAAGAAACACAGATTCACTCTTTCTAGCAGATTAAAAAAAATACACACATACACATATATATATATCTATCTTTCTTTATAATTTCCTAAAACTCACCGGTTGCCTCACACGGCAGAGCCAATTTTTCCAAAACAGAGCCTTGAACTGGTGAACAGCATATCCCATCCTGCCTTGTCTTTTCTTCCTCCAGCTGGAGAGTACCTTCTTATGGACTTTCTAACTGAGAATCATCTCACCAAGCCATCTGGCCACACTAGCAGATTTATTCCAGCACGGGAGCAAGGTGGTGCAAGAGATTTGCCAGCTCCCTGAGAAAACACTAGATTATGTTTCCGCCTCTTGTTTTGCATGCATGGAGGATCTCATCTTTCCAGTTGTTTCTCAGTGCAATGAACAGTAAGGGGATGGGTTTATATAAATGCCTTCAGGGTGCTTTACTCCTCAGCATATATTCTACACTTGTTTCTCCTTCGCTGGAGTGAAAATAAATGCAAGTAACAGGGGAAAAAAAAATATATATATAAAACACCTTCATTTTTTTCCTAGAGTTGGGTGACTTTTTGTCACTCTTTAATTTCATTTTATGTGGTTACTCTTAGCTAAGTGAAAAGAGAATAGATAGAAAGTGCATCATTTTTTTCTACATAGCTGTGATATTTTATCATGTGGCAAGAATGACTGCTGCCCTGATTGGGACTGTTACTTTGAGGAGAGGAGTAAAGCTTGCATTTGTTTGGTTCTACCCAAAAAGGCTGCCTAGGAAAAGACTCAGGATAGGATCCCCCAAAAGCTCCCACTGCTTAGTTAGTGGAGAGAAATAACACAGCCCCTTACAGAAGGAGATTCAGGCCACTTAAAATCTGAATCATGCATCTCACATGATAAAACACACACATGTGTATTAGGGCAGTGCTATGCCTGACAGAATATTGTGCATCTCTCATCAGTGCTTAATAAATCTCAAGATGCCTATTTCTTTCTTTTTTTTTTTTTTTTCAAAATGTGTTACTATTGAATGAAAATAACATTTTAACAATGACGGCTATTTTTCCTCATCAAGACTAAATTATAAAAAAAGCTAAAGCCTTTTGGCTATAGAAGCCATTAGCAGGCACTGACTTCCACTAGATTTGAGCTGGGATGGCATTCTTGTTTTTAATCAGCTTCATGCTGATTTGACTGATTAGCCTATTAAAATCTGTACATGTTGCTTTTTTAATTCCTACATTTGCCATGGGTGCAATGAGTAGAGAAATTAATAAAACACAAATTAAAAAGTTGTCATAGATTTATAAAGATCTGTATATAAGTAAAAATCTTATCCTAGCAATGCAGAAACCACACATGAAGTCATGGCAGGTTATGACTAGCCTGAACACCTTTATGCCTCAAGTATCATGGATTTTTCTGAGACTGAAAAATTACAGATTACTGAAGCACTTGTCTAAATAGAAATTTAGTTCCTCAGGATATATAAATAATCTAAGTTCTTCAGCATTTTCCCACATCAGTTTAAATATGTTTGTATTTCTAAGGCAGGATTACTTAATTTATGTAAAATGATGGGCCTGCAGAGCTCTGCTTCAGTTTTCATTAACCCTCATCTCACTCATGCTCCTCCTTCATGGCATCAGCAGACCACACACCTTCCGCAACCACCAAACCCCTTGCCACCTTCTTGTTTCCCCGCAATGCTGCCGAGCAGCACCTGCTTGTGCCCCCATATTCCCTCATCCCTGCGCTGCAGAGCTCCCCTCATCGCACGCCTTTAGGTGGCAGAGTGGATCTGAGCCAAGGACGCAAAAGGAAGGATGTGCCTCCCCAAAGAGCATCACTTCACATCCGCTGCTTGTGTAAGGGAAGCTTCTGCTTTTGGTCAAGCCACGCTTAAATCCCTGATATATCAGAAAGAGGACGGTAAAGCCAGCTTTGCTCACTAGAGGAGCGGGTGAGGTGAAAATTCTGTGGCCAGTCTGTATATGCATTTTCAAAATAGGATTTCTCACTGCTTGAACATTGTGAAAATATTCATGGGTTCACATAGCCATTTTGGAAATCTTTATTGTGTGATTTATAGGAAAAAGATGAATTGGTCAGTCAATAGACTGAATTACAGGTGATTATTTATCAAATCAGCTGACATGGAGGATGGTTGCTGATTAATACTTAAGCTAAAACAGCTCACATGAATAGTTTGCCTTTTTTTGAATAAATAATTCTGCAAAATCTCTGCTCATATGCATAATTTATTACATTGGATATAATTACATACTCTCAAGTATTGCTTTTCTATGCTAAACAGCTTTTTATGTATATAGGAAACAAATATTTTGTATCTAATTAATATTCAGTACCAGTGAATTAATCTCCTCATTACACTACGTAAGAAATGCAATAGGCAAATCCTTTCATCAGTCAGTTGTTTACTTCATTGCCTGTATATATCCTTGTCCTTCCCTCCAGAGTTTTATTCTTGCCTAGGACAGGATCTCCCAATAGTAGAACTTGATCTTTTTTTCCCAGAAAACAGTAAGAGGTATCTGATAAACATTCAACCATGAACTCACTCTATAGTGGCATGCTGGGAAATTAGTTCTAAAAAAAGGATGAATAAGTTTGATTGCATTCTTTGCAGTGTTATAGAAATATGAAAACAACCACTCCAAGCTAATGACAGAAGACAGTGGTTAAAAATTAAGCAAACAGGCAGTGAGAACAAATTGCTTTTGCATATTTATGTGAAGAAGTTTCAACTATGTTGCAGCCATTCTGAATGCTTTTTCTGAATGATCTAAGTTTCATCAACTAACAAGGCAATTTGTTTAAGAGCTGCATGTACAAGGAGTTTCAAAAGGTTCAATCACAGCACAGTTGCTGATAAGCTAAAGAAATTACATATTTTTAAAGCTCCTTAACAAACTGGCCATAGTCAGCAGCAACTTGTCAAGCCAACGTTTGACATGGACAAGTTAGGAAGTCACATGCTTTATTATGTGCTCCACTTGTACCTTCTGGAATGGAAAAATAAATGTAAAGAATACAGAATCAAATCTCCAAGCAAGGACAAGGCAGCACAACCTGCCCGACTCTGGTTCAGCTTAACTTTTGTAGGCCTTGTCAGGGCTAAAACTTAAAAGCATGTTGTTAGAGTCTGCAGGATATTCACAACCATTGGGACAGGAAAGGCAGAGAATATTCTGCTACCAATTATCCTGGGATTTAAAATCTGACTGCTTATAATAAGATACCATCTATGTGCCTTATCTAGCACAGTTTTAATACGTGCTAATTACAGCAGATTGGCAAGCATATTCAAAGAAACAGTTTATTGACTAGACTGGTTAAAGCCCAGGAGCAAAAAGTACTGCTTGGTAGTCAGGAATGCAGCCTGGTGGTGTTGATAGCATGGCTGGGAATCTGGTCAAATGACGTATTTTCCTACCGCCACCCTCAGTTTGTTTCACAAGGTTTACTTTGTGATCACAAGCTTTGCTTTTAACATGACTAGGAGTCCTGCTTCTAGGTATTTACAGTTACAGACCTGCTGTGGAGACCAATCACCTCCAGGATGCCACCGATTAGCCACACATTTCCTCTCTGCAAAGTTAGGGCCAAAAAATGTAAGACATGGGCATGGTCACGTAATATGGTTGCTTTGAAAAGGAACTGCAGTTTAGAGAAGCAAACCCTGCCTATGTCCCAAGCAAGGCGGTGACTGGTTTGAGCTTCTGAGGAGCTCTAAAAATTTTATTCCTGTAATACGCCAGGTGGATTGTAGGCTTCCTAAAATTTTCTCACAGCTACATGTTCAGAACTGACAAGAAGCATCTGGAATCAGGTTTCTGCATCACGCAGAACCGGCTTTGTCTGCCCTTTTCTGCCTCTGCGTTTCGCTTGGAGCCTGAACAGAAGCATCGCCCCTGTCAGCACTACTCTTGCTTTCGTTGCTGTACTGCAGAGTTTCAGAATTAACATTGTTCTGTGCAGTGACCTCCTTTCTCTTTGTTACACAATAGGCAAATGACTGTTTCAATTCATATGCTACTTGGCTATTTTATTAAGATTAAAAATAACAGTAACCCAAAATTCTTTTTAGAATATAGCAAAGTTAATTCAAATTAAACACTAAGAAAATTTGAAGGAAAGTGAACTTCTACATCGTGTTGCAAGCAGGCATCGTTTCCTCAAACTACGTGGAGTAGTTTGGTGTTTGGTAGGGCTGCGTGCAGACCTGACTCCCAAAGCTAGCAGTTTGGTGCTCCCAGCCCTGAGATAAGTTCAGAGCAGAGCTGACTACCGATGGGCCAGTCTAAAAACACTGGCTCTTCAGCTTCTTTCACCTGCCTTATCAATAGAAATGAAACACACCTCTTGGTTCAACTTTATAAAACTCAGTTCTTTATGCAACTTTATAAAACTCAGTTCTTTATGCACTTTAATATTTAAGAGGATACCAGCAGCACTTGAGGAAAAATACCCAGTTTTGTTACACAGTGCATAGAAAATCCTTTAAAATCAGAGCCATGAAATAAGAGTGATCTCATTTACTTCTGAGGTAGGTTAAAAAAAGAAACCACATATTAAGCGTATTATATTTTCAGGAAATGCTGAAAACATCCTCAGGTAAGAATTATTTTGCTTGCTTTTTAAAAGAAAGGAGATAAACTCTTTTAAGTACTTCTGGCGGCAGATGATTTCAGAGAGCTCCTTTTTAAAGGATTTTTCATAGCTTTTGTGAAAGATGATCTCTCTCTGAAGTACATCAGGATATCAAAAGCAAATATTCACAATTTTAAATTGCTAATCTACTTACTACTCATTCTCAATCTATTGCAAATGTGAAGCAAACATATTTTATTCTAACACATCTACATTGTAGTCTAAACTTTGGTTTTAATGTAAAGGTAGGCACAGAAAACAAATAATCAAAGAACAGATTATTAGTAGGAACCAGTATTTATTTGCCCTTTACAATTCTATGCTATTCATATCTTCCACCTTCTTCCTTTGCTTTTATCCTGTCATATACCTGGCATAAACTGATTCACGAATGTATTGCTGGGTATGGAACAGCACAAAAGAGCCAAAGTTGGCATTGGATTTTAAATGGGAATTTTGGGGGTTGGCAGAATTTGTGGACTGACCAGAAGATGCTGCACTCTGTAACAGTGATCATACACTGCAAGTTCTCTGTGTCTTCAGTATCAACACTCTAAACTCGGATTCATATCCTGCACCCTACATGAGCTTGTTTTCTATATAATACAGGCACAATGGGAACAGTTAATATTAAAAAACTGATTTGCACATAAAAGTCAGTGAAATATTCTATAATTCCTTATAGACCTATCTGTAAAATCTAAAGGAAGGTAACTCTAATGGTGGATGCACGCTGCTGAGTCATATCTTTATCTCTAGGTGCAGTTGTTCTTATCAGAGTAACATTATGGTAAGAGTTTCCTGTGAAACAAAGAAAATTAGCTTTTGCTCCTAGGGGAGTTAGACAGAAGCACAATTGCAAGAGGTGTTTATAGAGCACACTCTCTTATGAAGAATACAGTATTACAGGATGGCAACTAATGGAAAACTACAGGATGCTCCATTTCCTTCGCATCCTTTCCTCCAACCCCCTCCTCTTTAAGGGAATAATACAAGGGAATAATACATTTCTTTGCTCCAAATTTTTTATAAACATGGAAGAAAAATACTGCAACAGCGGAAAAAAAAGACACTGCTATAAGAAACAGGGGAAGGAGAGAGAATACATCAGAAAGTCAACAGCTAAAATCTCCCATAGATTGCTGGGGTTTGTAAAATTAAATCTTGTGTACTTATTTCTGTAGAATCACCCCGATTATTTGAACCTTAGCTCCAACTAGTCCACACCTCACTGAGAGTTATATTTCATCACGTATAAAGCTCTCTTAGGAGAGCTTACAAATTGTGTGAGAGAACTACCTGTTTTATATGACTGCTGAAATAAAAGCTTTGTAGTTTCAGTTGTTACACAAGGTTATATGACTTGGGATTGTTTTTGCTTACCACGTGTTCCAGATTCCTACTGTTCTCCCTTTAAAAAAAAAAAAAAAAAAAAGACTGTATCTCCAATTTGACTACAGCACTATCTTCCCCCAAAGCTTAACGCAACCTTATTAGATACATCTTTGCTGTCTTGATAAAAGCTAAAAATGTATAAAGCAGAAACCATTCAGATATGGAGCCCACACCACCCCTTCCCTTAAGTTTTTTTTTGGGGGGTGGTGGAGGAAAAAAGGCATTCTCTGACCATTGTCTTTACATTGCCTAGCCCAAATATAAAATGACTTCCCCCCCCCCCCATTTTTTTTAATTAAGGACTAAATTAGTGAAGCAAGAATTAAAACAAGACAAACAGTATTTTTTAATCTTTTCTACTATCCACCTCCATTATATCCCACGCTCTAAAGATCATCATATTTTCAGAGATTAATGCCCTTTGGCAGTTTCCCACCCACGGGAATCGTTCCTTACATTTTTAGCATTTTCAGCAAATGGCTTATGGAGTTTCTGCTGCTTCTTGATGAAGAGGCCTACTACTAGATTGCTGTCTTTTAAATTTGTTGTAACAAGTTGCCTGTGTGCTGCATACTATGAAGGTCTAAAAAATTCTGTCACTCTCAGGGGAACTAGACCATCCATTGCAGAAGAGAGAGGTCAATGATGCATTTTTTGTCAGCTGACCACATATTTATATTCTACCTCCAGAAGAAAAGTGGCTAGGAATATAATAATAATAAAAAACACATACCCACTAAACTAGTGGTAATGGAAAAATTAGCAGCAATGGGTGTCGTGGCATGTAAAGTCGATAGGTGTTCCTCAATTCTGGGAACCACTGCAAGGGTTATGTTCTGAAAAGTGAGGTGAAATACAATTTAAAAATGAAACAAAATGAGAAAAAGAAAATGAGCCATCATTTATCCAGTCCTGTGATCACACTGTGCATCTCCTCTGAGTGCCTGGTTCCTCTTCTTGATACAGCAAGAGATTTCAAAATCTACACTGCAAAGTTATTTATATGCTCAAGTTCTCTGGGCATTGACTCAATCACATACTTGAAATGCAAGATGAATAGCAGTACTGGATCAGTATCTAAAACTAATCACAGATATTCAACAGCTAAGAGTAGAGTTCCTAATGCTTAGAAAAATCAGTCACACGCTTTGAAATTTCATGAAATATATGGAAATAATACTATTTATTTGTCAATTTGTCAATGTTTGCAAAAACTGCAGAAACTGCATTCACTGTAAGTTTTCTTTACAAACTGAAGCAAAGGCATTTATAATAACTTACATATTTTTAAACAATGAGAAATGAATTGGTTTAAGTTAACTTGAGTTAACTTAACTTGAGTTAACTTATGTTTTAACTTGAGTCTAAAATACTTTGCATAAACTTGTTTTCCTTAGTTTCTCCCTTAACAGCATGGTTAAATAAAGCTTTTTTCATACATTACAGCAAGAAGTACCCTCACAACACTTTTCAACCCACAGAAAAGTAAAAACCTTATAGCCCAGTTACACATAACTAAGCTAATCTTAATTCAAGTCTGTTCAAGATATTCTGTTCCCAGAGTATACAGATATAAATGATTAACTTCCACATACAAATAGAGTGTTGTAAGCTATTCTAAGGCAAATGACCTTTATTGCACAGAATCAGTGACCGTGACTTCAGCTAGGAAGAAAACACTGGCCTTCTGCTTTCATGAAACAAAGATGATTGTTTCACACTTTCCCAAGACGTTTCTTAATGAAGTAACCCACTAATTTCTGTGGTCTTTGTTGATATTCCACAAGTACATCATGCGAGCTACTAATCTGATCTCCTTTGAGTCGATCCAGGAGAGTGACACACACCACCGCAGCTAGAAAGGAAAAGACAGGATTTGTTAGGAATAACATTTTAGTACTCTCACAATCCAGAAGCACAAACCTCAACAAACAGACAGGATATTACCACATATGAGAGACAGAGAAAGGGAAAGAAAATGAGAAAATAAAAATGGTGCACAGCAGCAGTAGATGGTACTAGAAAGTTACAAGTAGTTTAATGGAAATGACAGAGTCATCAACAAAGCAAGTGCTCTCAGGTATGAGCAGACATTCCTCCTTATGTGATCAATTCTCATCTTTTTTTCCTGAATAGGAATTATATTTCACAAGTATCCCAATCCTAACTGGAAGCAACTGATTATAGACACTGTCCTTGCAGACATAGTTACAGGTCTCTGCAGTATCCTTGAGCCCTAACAAACCTCTATGTTGATCCTGAAAGACAGAGTTCACAGCAAATGAGCTGCTTTGTCACTCATAGAGACTGAGCAGAGCAGGTAAGTGAAGAATCCTCAGACCATCTCAGGTTAATCATCGGCCATTCATATAGTCAAAGCCCCAGATCTAAAGTCCTTCCTTTCATTCAAACTGAGCTCTTACACTTTTCTTTCATATCTGAAGCATCTCGTGACAGTTTGCAGAGTATTTTTATATGTTTTTATGTTATATGTTTATATGTTTTTATATGTTTTTATATATATATATATATATATATAAAAAATAATATTTGCCGAGTAATATATTACAGACCTACAATGTGCAGACAGCAAAATAGAGCACAGTTCCTAAGGACAGAGTGATATCATGGGATGAGTCTTTAATTACTCTCAATCAAGTCAGTAGGAACCGAGGGTGTTTCATGTTTCTCAGACTGCCCTAATATTCCAAACATTTTTCACTGAATGTCTTGTTCATCATCTATGTCTTGCCAAAGAAAGTGAGAGACTGTAAGGAACATTGTAGGGAATTATATACGTTATAGGGAACTTCTTCATAATACTACTAAATTACTTTGACTATGTAAGAATTACAGGCATAAGACTATATAAAATACATTTTTTATTTTGATATGCAAGCTTAGGAAGTGATTAGAGTGTATGTATATGAGAATCATCTGACTGATTAAATTAACCAGTTGTTTCTTGTAAATACTAACTAAAGAAAACAAATTAGCACTATATGGTAATTAGATACCTTTATCTGCTTGCAAGGACTGAAATAGCAGCTGATCTGGACTAAAACTGTGTAAGAATTATAGGAAGCAGACTAAAACTGTACAAGAATTATATGAAGAAGTTTAGATTAATTTTGAATACATATGACAAATCATGCAATCATGAGCTTAGATTATACATACATATACAATCACACACGGAGGGCCTATTATCTCAACTTTCATTGCTATTTTGTATGGTAAATCAGTCGTACTGAAAAAAACACTATAGTTTCAATAAAGTGGCTACTTTACCTTTAACACCACTGAGATTACACATTGCAGCAAAGACAGATGATTCCATCTCAATGTTTCGGACTCCAGATTCAAAAGCTTCCCTCAAATATTGGAGTTTCTCTTCTTTAGTGTATAAGCAGATTGCACCATCTAAACGGCCTTGTCCTACAAAGCCAATGTGCAGAAATTTTCAGATTGATGAAATCATAGAAAAAAGTCAGTTTCTAAAACAGCTGATTATTGCTGCTTCCTTTATACGGCTTTCAGCTTTTACTACTGCTCTTTGTTTTCACATGCAAGATAAATAGAACAAAATGATTCTTAGCTACCACTAGAGCTTCTATGAAATACCTGTATTTGTTATGATGCGGATCACAAGAATTTGTGTTCTCCAGCTTTATCTATCAAATCTGAACACAGTGTAAGTGTAAGAGGCCATTCCCAATATAAAGCTGGATGGAAGTACTACCTGCGTGCATGTGGGTGTGTTTTCTAAAAGATTTACTGTAGTTTCTTAACTACTACAAAAAAACAAAGACAGACATAAATAATTCTCATTCCTCTAATCCATTAGGTTGCTGCCGTAAATCAGAGTGCAAAATCAGTAGAGTAAAATGCTTAGCAAAACTTCTCGTATTAAATAGCTTGAAAAATAGTTCAATTATGGGCAGTAAGGCTCACACTTCTCAGCGGACTACAGTCTTAGCATTAAAATTCCATCTAGTATGTAACCATTAATGCTTACCAATATACTTCTGTTAGTCCACTCACCTTCATAGAAATCCAAAGTGCACATAGTGTTCCCAATCACTGTATTGAATTCATTGATTTCTTTGCTGCATTGCATCAGCTCCTTCGCTAGCTGTTCATCGAGATCTGTACTCCGAATTACAGACTTTCCCAGAATCACCTGTTCAAACTGAGGCTTGAAGGTGGCATCTACAGACTTCCTAGTTATCACTACTGAGCCTGGCTCCAGACCTGAAGTAAAAAGAAACAAAGACAGCTACGTAACATTTAATGTTTCATTTGTGCACGCATATAAATACATGTACCAACACACAAAAAACTGCTCCTGTTAAAATGCCAGTAAGTTTTACACCTGAATTCAGCCACAGACTCTTTTTGTGCATGCTGAGCTGCTTCAGCTTATTGTTATGAAATTTTTATTGGAAAATAATCAAACAAACAAAAGCTTTTTCATTGTATATTCCTTCTTAACCTAAAACATCTTAATATAGGAGTAGCCTTCTCAAGGCTATCAAATCTCAAGTCTGTTTTGTCTCTCTAGAGAGGCAGAAAATGCCTTTTACTGCGAAATTATGGAAGAAGTGAAATAATTATTCTTCTATGTGAGTGGATAATCAGGACCCAGAAAGAAATAAGAAAACATATAGGACTGAGTGTACTGAAACTGCTATAAGCAAAGAGGGGTGGAAAACAATTCTGGTCATCAATCACTCAGTTTCACAGAGATTCTTTACTCTCCTAGAGAGATATTTTTGTTTGAAGAAAAAGAAAATGAAGCAGGGAATTACCTATTCCACCAGAGGTGCCAATGCGAATAATGGTTACGTTGGAGCACTTTGCGTGATGTAACAGTTTGATCAGCTCGTGCAACATGATCGAAATAGAAGGAATGCCCATACCATGCTGGATCAAACATAGAATTCCATATTCAGTATTCATAAACAATACAAAATAACATGGAAGGAGTTAATAGCTTTTTCATGATACTTTTTTTCCAAAAGCCACTCCACCGATTCCCATACAAGGCCTAACCTATGCACCTACTGGAAGGCGGCTGCAGGTAAACAGAAAGACTCTCACACCCTTTGATGGGCTATGAATAAAGTTCATTATTTCCCCAAATCATGACTTCAAAATTACTAACCTTCTCAAAAAAATAAGCAGTGTCATTTCCTAATAGCTCACAATTGCACTTCACAAACCTCTTCTTACACCCAAGAACAACCCCACTCTAATTTTATCAGCCTGAAGCGCTGGTGACTGTACTAGAGCTAAACTGGTTCAAAGCCCAGACATCATGGTTTAATCACCAAGTCTGGCAAATACAAGTCCAGCTCAGCTTGCACTGGACTGCACTTTTTTGAACATGTCTGAAACAGATGTGCAAGCTGACTCTTGCAAGTCCATTAGGCCTTGAAGGCCTCTCTAGTAGGCCTTGAAAGGAAACGCGTGTCCACGTTACCCACTTCAAACACCGTAACAGAACTGTACCCCACACGCGACGTGCATCAGGACAACACCGTGACGCTCTGGCTGTGCTTCCTTGAATGGTCACTTACACTGACTGACAGGACGGGTCCCACTTTGTACATGGCATAACGGTCAGTTCCCGCACAGATGTTGGGGTGCTCCGAACCCGGGCTCCCAAGGCCCAGTTCGCCAGCTATGTAGGTGATGAAGGCCTTCATCCGCGACGGACTTCCTCCGACGCACACGAACTGTGGCAAACGGCGTTCAGAAAACAGAGTCACTCTCACGACTCGGTACATCAAACAGCAGTAAAGGTAAACGCGAGCACGCAAAGGCCTTAATTTAACAAAGAACCATGTTCCCAAGCGTGCTTCTCCCAATCACTCTAAAAGGCCACAAAGGAAACGGAGAACATGGCTTACTCTAACTAACTAAATAAATAAATCAAAGGCCTTCACTCTGTTTCAGAGGAAAGTAGCAGAAGCCTATTACTGACTTCAAGAACCCCCAAAAAGAAATTCTGCCTGAACAGACGTTGTAGCATTTGTCTTTTACTGCATGAAAGGAACAAATCGGATACAATTCCCTATCCCTAATTCTGCTTGCTGTTGACAGCAACAAGTAAGACCCTGCCAAATCTTACCCCTTTTCTTCACTCCTCAACTGATGGTGTGCTAACACATTCAATCTTATTTAGGTCACAGTTACACTTTCATCTTCTCCAGAAAGGCTTAGACTTGCTAAATGAAATGAAGCTTCTTACCTTTACATCCCCAAACAATGCGGGAAGATCGTGGGTACCAGTCCCAAGGGCAAAATGGTACAGGATGTCTTCTTGCATTTTCTCCAGGTGAGGGTTGCAGAGATGGATAAAATTCTCTCTAGCAGGACAGCATAATGGAAAATATTAAATATATACAAAAGCCTACATTAAACAGACACCAATTTTGCAAAGCCAAGCAGCAACGTTTGGAAAACGATACAACTTCAGGCTGCCTGCACCATCTTATTTTGGTTCCTAATGCATTAGATTAAAGAAATCCTAAGTGTCATGGCCACCTTGAGCCTTGAAACAAATTGCACAGTCTGTTTTATTCACTGCATAGGATAAAACTCCTATAGAAATATCAGCTAATAGACAGCATTTACAACAGTACAAACTTGACTTTTAATAATGTTAATAATATTTAATAATATTAATGCTTTGAAAGAAGGTGGGGATTTCTGATGAGCAGAGCAATGGGATTAGGCCCAGGGAATATTCATTAGACTGCCTTACAACATAAGCGACCTCTATCAGAGTTAAAAAGCAAATCTGTCCTGTGTTTTGAATGATCCTCCCAGCCACTACAGGGGTGGGAAGAGTTGGGATTTTATACAGATGCAGAGGGAACTTCTGGTAGTTTGGCTCCACCTGTCTGAGTGTCAGCCAGCCAGGAAGAAGGAACATGACATGGCAAAAGACCAGTAACAAGAGTACAGATGTTCAAAAAAAATGCTAGGGGAGAGAGGCAAATGAATATCAGAAGCAGAGAGAAAACTACAAAAAAAAGGGAAAAAAAAAGAAAGGATAAAACAAAATCACTGTCTGTTTAGAAATACTCCTTGGTATTTACTGTAAGAAAGTGTCAGGCCAAAAGAAAGTCTTTCTGAGGAACCAGGAAATGTCAAGGTGATGAGAAAATGATGAACTACTTAACATGTGGGATCACCTTCATGGAAAATTTAGTAATGGACATGGAAAGCAAAGCGATTCATAAAACCCCTGGCTTCTGTGCTTGATGTCTGAAGTTCAGTCAAAACAGGCAAGAAACACTAGTTAGAAGCCACAAGTTAAACCAAATACTTCAAAGTAATTTTCGAGAGATGAAACCAATATCTTCCAGGAAGAAGATAACATTAGCTTAATGAAGGCTGACTGCATTCATAGCATGGCTCAGCAAATTCAAACTGCTTTGTCAGAAGAGGGGAAAAGAAAAAGAAACAATTTGCCTGGAGTTTATGCAAAAAAAAAAAAAAAGTTAATATTTTTCAGGGACAACTCTGTAGCCTAAATAAAGTTTAGTGCTTTTTTTAAATACTTTATATGTTGCCTGTCTTGTAGTCCCTTAGCAGAAGGGCAGTGCTTTCCTGTAAGTCCTATGTCTATCTAAAGATAGACTAAAATGACTTAACCGATGTCGGAACCGTCATCTAGGAACTAACTGAGGACTAACTTGTTCCTCAAAAACAAAGAAAAATGGTTACAAAACAAATATTCTGAGTCTATCAAGTGCTTCTGTTCCTCGATTTTTCTAATGTTATCAGCTGTCCAGCAGCTGAAGCACAACCAAAGTGTTTGGTTCCCATTCCACCCTATTTGCCCCTGCTCACCAAAGACTACTGTCTTCATGATTACACCAGCTAGCTCAGTTGCTCCCTACATATGCCATAGTCTGTATGCATGTGATAACTTGGTTAAGGAAACCTAATATTAAAAAGATGTTACTTTCAGCCTTACTCATATTACAGATATATGTAAAGCATGGTGAAATACTACAGCAAAAAAACAAAGATAAAAAAAAATACAAAAGAAAAAGATAGAAAGACAGAAGGGCAACTAGATCTCTGATGGAAAGGAGCTGAATGCAGAAACCACTTGTCTAGATCTGATACCCACAGAACACTTCATGCAATGGTCATGTGAGAATCCCTGGATGCCAATTCATCTCTGCCAGAGATGCAACTTACTGATGCCAGAGGAGCTAAAGAAGAAAGATTTGACCAGACTCCTCCGAATGCAACTTAGCAAACATTTTCTATTTAAGTCAAGAGTGACTGAAAAAGCAACCTAACAAAGCAGGTGACTTGTCCGCTCCTTCAATTTTAAACTCTTTTCATCTCCCATTTGCCTCCCTTCTTACAAATCCTGTCTGTGCTGGAACCAAATGCTCTGGTTGCCTTTGCTCTTTCCTCTCTTTCTTTCCATACCCTCTGGATACAGGTGGCCTAGGAGATTGCCAACTCATGTGTGCAGAATCCTCATGCTGCATCCTCCAAATTAATTCTCATTGGGTTTTGTGGGACTCTCAACCTATATTTAATGTGACTAATGCAGACTCAAATAACTGGCTGCGCTGGTGTTTACTGGCATGGCTTTCAGATACAAATAGAAGATGCTTGGGAATCATTTTACAACTTGTTCTCTGGCAAGCAAAAAGCATTTCCTTTAAGAGCAGACCAGCATCATAAAGCTTCTCTTCTAGGCACAAGGAAATCAACTGGAAAAAGGCAAGGCCCATCATAATAGCACAATGAGATTTGCATGCTATTTGCCAACACCTCTGCCCTCATGTCTGGCCTAAACACAGTTTCCTTCCTCAGCTGTGTCCACATTTCGCCTTTTTCATCTTGTACTCTACCAGCAACACTCTTCAACCCACAGTCTCATTGCAGTTATATGCCACTGCTAACTGGCATTTGTTATCTGCCAAACCAAGTCTAATTGCAGACTTGGACCCTGGGGTTAAATGGACAGAAAAAAAAACTTGAGCAAGTTATTGTGTGTACACAGGACCAATGCCATGTATTTATAGTACAGGCAAAGTTTGCCTGATAAAGATCTCGGGCCATATTTCTCAGGAGAAGAAAATTTACTCACATTTATTCAACTCGCACAGTTGTTAAGAACCTTCAGCCTTTGGGGTCTTATACAGAACATTAATATGTGAAGATTAATCCTGCACATGTAGTTTCATTCAAAAAGGTTTGAAGTCAGGAAGAGGCAAACAGAATTAAACACTTGATCAAAATCTTGAAGCACACAGGTCTAGCTGTAGCTGGAAACCAAAGTCAATATTTAAGCAATCCACTGGAAGGAATAAAAGTAATTAAAAGAAACTATGACATGGTAAGATACAATAAACCAAAATAGCTGTCCAGAAGAGGCATTTCTGCTGGGATGGTTAATGGAGATAATCTGTCAAAAGAGCTTCTATTAGACGCCCAGCTAAACACGTGTGACCTGCTAAAGGGCTGTCGTTAGCAACAATCTTATCATTAAATTATACTGTTATTTCAACAACTGTTTAAGCACAGATGTACCTACTCTACTGGATGTTCACATCACACTGTTTACATTAAATCAAATGAGCATGTAATAAAGGGTATAGAACTTTAGAGCTTTCAGAAAAAAAGTGTAACCTTGAACAAAATAATTGATTTTTGAACCTTACTTTGAAGGTTGTTCATCTTCACTTTTCTTCTCATTTGAGACACCAGGAGCCATGTGTGCCTATACCTAGAATTGAATTAAAAAACAAGACATAAATGCAGCAGAGATGTGTACAAGTCGGATATCATTTACACTGGAGTATGTAAATGAGAGCAAGTTATGTAGCTTCGATACAGCACTTCTTACTTTAACAAAAAGAACATCTGCTACTTTTATGGCCAAATATCCCCACACTTAAAACCCTGCAATCTCAACGAATTGTTTCCCAACATCCCCACACGCGTGAATTTTATTCTTCAGTATGAGGACTGCCTGGCTGATGGGCCAGAGGGAAGTAAGACTCACAGCTGCCAAACTAGTCCTTATCTGCTAAACTAATCCTTACCTTCCGTCCTTTCCACAGTGACAATTGGTACTAAACTTGATTTTTACCCTTTTACTTCTGTCTCCCAAAAGTTCTCTGTAGTTCACTCCAGCTGTCATATGCCTAAAATCTGAGCCGCAAGTGGCATCTTATCCCTAACATCCCCTCCATGAAACTCCTGCTGCTGACCTCAGTATAAGAACTGTCTGCAGCAGCCTAGGGCATTCTGGGCTATCCATCCATCCATCCATCCATCCATCCATCCATCCATCCATCCATCCGTTTTCTAACCTATTCCCCTGAACTAGTTCATGAAACTTCCTCCTCACAACTTGTCCCCTTAACTCACAATAGAGAAATGTATCACCAAATGCAAATATTGTAACAGAATTATAATTAAAGAATGACTAATATCTTGTTATTTTTCAGAACTAAGGCTACGTGCAAAAGCCAGTACTTTCTGGGAATGCCCTTCCAGGAAGTCCTGAATCACAAAATTGTGTCCTACCCTCCCTAGCAAAGAGCCTGACAGGACATACATATTATAAAAATGGAATTTTAATCCTTGAAAAGAAAGTTGACCTAGGAAATACACTACAGGAAAACAGAAACCAGTTTTACAACAGGATTACAAAACGTGTGAAATGTTTTGAAAGAGAAACAGAAGGACCAGAGTACCATTTGAAATAAAGCTGAAGTCCACATGTTAAAAATCTTTGAATAATGGAAATGGATTCAAAGTTATAAGTAAGATTTATATTTTTATTTACAAAAAAAAAAAAAAAATCTTACTACCACATACATAAGAAACTTGGAGTTATTTAATATATACGAGAATCTACATTAAGAGAGAGTGACATAACAGTAATTATTTAGAATCAGTTACGCAGCCCTGTGGTTGTAAGAGCAATCAGTTACTATAGGAAGCTACTCTTATCCTACAGCACGTTACTCTTATCCTACTATATTACATATGACACAGAGCAGAATATGCAATTTGTTCAAGCAAGACTCTACTAAAAACAAACAAAAAACAACAAAATCAGAATGCCATGGTTCATAACAGCAAGGAGCTCCCACAACAGCAAGAACATAATCAGTATTGCACTCGTGGCTGTCACGCACGCCGCGAGCCAGTGCTGAGCACCGCGCGGCTCCCCGCTCCGCACGCACCGCGCGCGGCTCCCGGGCGGTCTCGCTGCTTCTCTCTCACCTCAACAACGACGCGCCAACAAACGCCCGAGCGCCGCGTCCCGGCAATCCCCGTGGCGGCTCCCAGGCACCCCCTCCGAGAGCGAGACCGCAACAGGAGATGTCCGGGCAAGAAGGAAGGAAGGAAGGAAAAAAAGGCTGCAGCTCAGACCCTGCAGCCGCAGGTGGCGGCTCTCAGACCCAGCCCGCACGAAGCCGCAGCCGCCAGTGCCCAGCAGAGCCCGAGCGCAGCCCCCGGCGCCCTCCCTCAGCCCGGCCGGGGAGGCGGCGCCGCCTCCGCACGCCCTGGCCAGCGCCCGCCTCGCCCTCCGGCCCGCGCGGCAGGGAGCCGCGCAGGGCGGAGCGAGCAGGGAAGCGCGAGGGAGAGACCGTCCCCCGTCCCCGCCCCATGCGAAGAGGCGGCGGCGCCTCCGCCCGTCCCCATCCCCGCCCCATGGGCCCCGAGGGCTGCAGCCAGCTCGGCCCGGGCGCCGCCGCCCGCCCGCCCGCTCGGGGAGCCGCTCGCGCCGCTGCCCTGAGGCGGGAAGGCGCCCGGCGGCCGCGGCGGCCCCGCGCGCTGAGCTGGGGCTCGCGCTTCTCACTGCAACCACCGGGTCATTGGCCCTACCGGGGAGCGCTCGGGAGGCAGAGGCACTGAAATGTCATTTCCTGCCAGGTGCTCAGCATGTATATACCTCTAGAGGCAAACAAACACAAGGAGAGGCCCAGCACTGATATCTTTATCATAAACACATGTACGCTTAACACATGTACACTTAACACCCATTGTACATTTAGCATCACTTTTTTTTTTTTTTTTTTTTTTTTTAATCTCACAGCAAATAGCTTAATTTCGTGCAAGAAACGTTTCCTTTAAATAGGAATATTACCTCTTCCTCTCAGGGCCTGCTGAAAAAAACGTGCTTTGCGTTTCAAGAAGTTTGTCATTCAGCTGTGTTTGGAGAATCATCAGTGTAAATGGCTTAATTTGTAAATGAAGTACATTCAGGTTACCATAGATACTCCAACTGAGAGGTTTAATAAATAATATATCCCGGAGTCTATTAGTGTAGTAATCCTCAATCACTTCTAGGAAACATAAAAATTTAAATTGGTTTTAAGCTTCTTGCTTTTATAACTATCTTTGGGTTTTTTATCCATTTTGTATCACTAGAAAAGAGGTATTTTAGTTAAAGCACAAAGTATGTTCAAAAATGTTATTTTGGAAAGGTGAAACATACAGCAGGGTATGGTGTGATTAAAGCAAAAAGAAATTACAAAGATTTCATTTTGTCCCACCTTTTAGGTTTTTTTATTTCATGGGTGAAAATTTGCATCTATGGAAAATAAAGTTGTCTTTTATACCTCAAGAAATGCCCCTTCTTGCTTATCATAAAAAGTTTTATTGTCAATTGACCAACAAATTCAGTTCAGACACTCATAACCTCTAGTCATTTAGGTTGTTTAGTATCATTAAAATTATTAATATGAAAACAAAAAGAATGGACCTTTATAGCTTTTTCTTTTAGAGAAGCTATTACAAAGTAACTACATAATAAAGATATATATATGCACACACACATACCAAATGGAAGACTAGAATGCCACACTATTGTTTACCGAAAAAAAATGGGTCTCAGCCTACATCCTACATCCTTTGCTTACCCAAATCTACACATTCACTGATGTTTTAGATGGTAAAGAAGTGGATGGACAAATTCATTCTATTTTGCTTAGACTGCTATGCAGAGCAAATGTATCTAAGCCCTTGATTTTTGAAAACACATTTAATTCTGGTTTAACAAGGCATAAGTGATAAAGGGCATTCAGTAAATTGTGGATTATTCAGCTTTGCTACAATTAAATGAACACATGTAAAAGGAAAATTATTCTTAGGCAATTAAACTTTCAAATTATTGTTTAATCTGTATCTGGAATTCTATTTTAAAGATACTCACATATTAAGTAGGCTTGAATGTAATTCATAATCTGAACTGCAGTTTGTATTTATGGGCTTGCAGGACAACCACGCTCCCCCCCCCCCCCCCCCCCAAAAAAAAAAAATTTCATTTACTATTTAAAACCATTTGATTCGGAGATGGAACACAATACAATTAATAAATGTTCAACCATATAAAACGGGAAAGGCTAGAAGCTTTTCACTTCAGTGCATTATGAAAACAAACCAAAAAATCTACAAAACAAGTCTTGTAGATCTAGCAGCTTCCAATACTTTTTCTTTGTAACTGCTGACAAGTCTGAAAATCTTGCCAATTCCATGACTATGTAGACTCGGAAATAAATAAAATAGAACATAGTTATTGGGATAACGCCAACTTACAAGGGCACAAGGCCACAATAAGGCCACAATGTTTCCATCCTTTGTTTGTTTGTTTTTTTGTTTTGCTTCCCTGGTTTCATGTATTTTGCTCAACTGTTACCTCACACCTCTGCAGTAGCTCTCTTATTCCTACCACGAAATCATAAATTTCAAGGTTCTCTATGTGCTCTTGTAATGAGAAATCTGAAAACCCTGACACAGCACTTCAGGTTGTTAATGTTCTATCTCATGGTGTTCAAACTTTATCTGTGAAGATTCAGCTGGTTAACAGTGCACATCAAACCTCTCCTTGGCTTGACTAAGAAAACCTGAATACACCTTAATGTCACTTTAAACAAACTTTTAAGAATTTGAGGAACACCATACAGGCTTTAAGTAGTGGTGAATCAAGCAAAAAAAGAGAGAGAATGGTTCAAACTGGATATGATGCTCTGAAAGCCCACACAAAAAAGAACTGTGAACTAAGAACACTACTATAAATACTATAAACACTGTTTAGTAAGTGCTACAGTACTTTAGTACTACAGTACTTTAGTAAGTACTAAAGCCAAATAATAGTAATAAGTGACCAAGTTATGACCTCAGTTTTCTTTGTCGCCTTTCTCTAACAATTGCCTAAAAAAAAAAAAAAAAACCAACAGCTTTGGACAAGAACTCCAAAGTAGAGGTGAAGAGTTCAGAAGCAAAGAACATTTGGGTATCAAATGATTCAAAGTAATAGAATTAGTTTAGGAAACCTCATACGTAACTTTTTCTTTAGAAGAACAAATAGTAACATAGGATTACTACTTTTTTTTCCACAGAAAATAAGCAGTATTATAGTTATGAGGTAATTATGAGTTACACCTACAGAAGAATTCATGTTTTATGGAATGGCTTTAATCAACTTTGGCACAACGAGCACCTTCTGATCTCTGTTAACTGACTAGCTATACACTTTAAAAAGGCTTTTAAATACCCATATTGTTATTGTTTCATAGCATTACTGTTTCCAACTTGTACTGAATACCTTAAAGACAAGTCAATTCAAAAACAAAACCAAAAAAACTAACAGAAATGGATTCACAGAATCACAGAATATTCAAGGTTGGAAGGGACCTCTACAGATCATCTAGTCCAACCTTCTCGCTCAAGCAGGCACACCCAGAGCAAGGGGCACAGGGTGGCATCCAGGGGGGTTTTGAAGACCTCCAGACACGGAGACTCCACAACCTCCTTGGGCAGCCTGTTCCACTGCTCTGTCACCCTCACAGTAAAGAAGTTCCTCCTCACCTGGAGACGGAACTTCCTGTGCTCCAGCTTATGGCCATTACCCCTCGTCCTATCGCTGGCCACCAGTGAAAACAGCTTGCCCCGTTCCTCCCTGCATTCTCCCTTCCTGAACTTATACATGTTAATCATAGCCCCTCTCAGCCTTCTCTTCCCCAGGCTAAACAGACCCAGATTCAATATATCAATATCTAAGAACACAAAAACATGCTACTACTCAACTGATGAACATTTGAAAAAAATTGGTGATCTTAATCACCAATTAATCAACTTAATTCTAGAGTTTTATCATCATCTCCTACTTACTTCTCCTTTGTATCAGTAAAACACATAACAGGGAGCAGTGTTTCCTACAAAATATCATAGGAAATACACCTGTATTGTCAGGAGATGAAGATGGGACTGAAAAATACTGCTTATAGTTAAAGGCATTCAAGTATGTTCCAGTAGACGCTCAGAAATAGCATTCATTTTAATGTTGCATTTCTTCATTGTTGGGCAGAAAAAGCAGGTCTCCATGGGACTCTATCTGACATTTAGTAATAAATGCTATCATCTTCTCCAAAGGCTGTACGAAACATAGCTGAATTCTCAGAGGGAGATTCATATGACTGGGTAATTCTGAGGAACTCATATATGACTGCATAATTCTGAGGAACTTGTAAAATGTTACTTATTTTTCCTGAAAATATTGCAGTGCTATTGCTGGTAACTGCATTAACTTTAAAATTCGATAGTTGAAATCCTGTGAATATCAACAATTTGTCTGTTATATAATCTTGTCATACTAACTTATTATTTAATGCTGCTCCGTAGTGGCAGTTCTTGTACTGATCAGGGTCCAATAGTATAAACCTCAATTTCAGCATCTCTTGGAGAATTAGATTTCATCAAAAGCATTGCTTTCACACCAAAATTAAGGGTTTCAATATATCCAAAACTAAACTACAAAGCAATTTTAAATGGGAATTTACTTCAGCTAATATTTCTTTGTATTTTCTTCCTCACATACCACTCAGATAATTTAAATTTATACTACAATTTAAATTTATTCATATTTGGAAAAATGTACTGATTAATCAATAATATACATTAGCCATTAACATATGTTTTAGCCCTTTATTTTTGTAAATGCAACTCAGACACTTGCATTATTTGTTAAAATGAATGGCAAAGGCTCAGATGCTGGCTCTTCTTTGTCTGGCTCTTCTTTATCAACAGTAAAACTCACAACAGCTTTCACTGAAATTTTGGGGGCTTAGGATTAGCAGTAGGTTTATATATTTCTAATCAATTTTCTAAAAATTTTAATAACAAAGTATTGCTTAATCAAGCTGTCTTAACATTCTCTTTGTAGAAATGTAGATTCAATAGTACATTAAAATCTTCAGCTCTGGATTCAAAGGTGTGGACTGTATTTAAAATATACTCTGAAAAGGAAAATAACCAAATTACCAATTTCATTTATTTAAAATTCCCCCTTTTTAGTATAAACAAATCTTATCAGAAAATACAAGAATTTTAACTGGCTTTAAAATAAAATATTTCTATTTCACAAGACTTCAGAGAGAATTCCTCTTTCAAACAGATAAAAGAGTCAACATTAACATGTCAGTATCTAACTTTCAGAATATCAAAATAATTGTTATACATTAATTCCGAACACTATGTCCAGTGTTTATGCAGCAGGTGTAGTGAAAAGAATCATGCAAGAAAGCTGAGTATCTGGTGTAAATCTGCTTTGGGGACTAAGAGGCTACCTTTCCAGTGAAGGATTTGCTTTTCTACCCAAGGTAGCTTTATCAGTTTGTTTCTATCAGTTAGACCCATACAGCTCCACTTCCCCTTTCTTTATGAGACAAATGATGAGTACAATCATAACCAAACCAGCAAGCTTTTCTTCAACTATACTGATACATTACTCACGTATAGTACAGATCAGCAGCAACAGGGTAATCCTATGTGACAACAGCAAAGGAGCACTAGTCTTATATTAGAGAGAATTTCAGTTTTGCTCCTTGAAACCCTATTAAGCAAAGGTGTAAGGGTTCATGCTGACAGCTGTTGCCTACGCTTTACAACGTGCTGTAACGAAGCACAGTGAAGTTCAGAGATAAAGCACTCAATAAGGAAGCAGTTTAACTAGAAATGTAATCTTATCAGATAAACGTAATCTAGCATATAAAAAGTGGACTTCATTATAAGCCCTATAATGCTTTACTTTTCCCAATAGTCTGGAGTATTCCTGAAGCTATGGCATTCACTCGTTACTTGCAGATGCTGTTTCAGGCAGTGATGGTTCTGAATCTGCAATAAGGAAAGAAGGAAAAACTTGAGGAAAGTCCAAGCAAAGCCTTCAGCACACACCTGAACCTATGAAGAGACTAAAGTTGAAACTGTATCAAAGTACAACACACTTGGGGCAAAACCACACCTATTAGGGCAAAAGCTTTTTCCTCTTTTTTAAACACTGAGATACACAATGCATCTCAGGCTGACTATCTGTGGTTGACAGAAGACAACATAAAAAAAAAAGCAGGGGTCATATTGTTTAATAGCTTGGAAAGGAAAAGATTTTCAAAAGTACAATGCATCTGTATATCAAACTATGTAGCTTATTCACTTTTCATCAATACTCACAGTCTAACCATCATTTCATTATCTGTTTTTGCTTCAGTGATGTAACCAAACCAATTTAACCACTACCCTGAAAAATCCTCAGTTTTCTTTATTTCCAAAATGTCACATTTGAGGCACACTTCATGTTAAATAAATCAGCAACAACCACATGAACCTATTTGGAGGCTTGAAATATCCCAAATGCTTTCCTTCAATAATGAGAAACTAATTAAGAAAAATTTCAGTGCACCAGAACGTTAAATAGGTTCTGACGGCAAAAGAGGAGTACTAATATTCTTCGTTCCTGTTAAGGAAAAGCATTTCTGGATCGACCTACAAGGTCTTCATTTCTCTTCAGGCAGCATCTTCTGCATGATCAGAGATTGGATCCTCAAGCTGATTTCAATTTCTCATATTAGATGCCCTATTTCAGGTCCAGAGAAAAATCTAGGTTCATCCTTTTGTTTTGTAGCAGATTTTCCTTTGAATACGGCATCACTTTGGATTTTGCTCTCGTGCTTCCTTCTGATACTCACCTGGAGAAAGAGGATCTGCAAAGAAGACCAAGAATCCTTTAATATACATACATTCATTCTTAATAATAATGTAAGACAAAAAAAATTACCTCTCAATTCCTCACTATTTTCTGATGTTTGTTGAACCTTTTTTTCTCTTTCAATGTGCTGCTGAATCCAGTCAGCTCCATAACCATTGCTAATTAATTTGCTGAAGTTTACTGCTTCACCATTTCTCTGAGCAGGCCTGTAAAGCCAACAAAATACATTGGAAGAAAAAGCATAAATAAATCATATAATATATAAACCAACATATAAATCATTTCATAAAAAAAACACATCTATATACCCAATTCACAAAACACACATGCATAATTTTATATAAGCCATGCATTCATGCGTTTTGTTGGAATTTAACATGTACAATAATTACAGAATTCTGGTCCTAGAAAAAATAAATGAAGAAGTTCAATGAAGAATGTGAGAGTAAAACAGGCTGATAATAGTGTAATAGTACTGTTACATGTATTAACATAATAATATTGTATTACTGTATTAAGATAATAATAAAGTTATGTGGGTGGCATTTTGTCCCCAAGTTTAATCAGTTAATATGTACTAATAAACTTCTAAATTAACACATTTCTAAAACAATCTGAAATTACTGATGTCCATGTGTAATACATTTGTAAGACTTAAAATTTGCACACAGTGTTGTGTACAGCTTGATGATGTAATCATTTGCTTAGAAAACTGTTTTATCTTCCAGGTGTTTGTTACAGTGTTTTTGTTGTACATCACCTTATGCTAGGTAATAGTTAATATGATTTTTTTAGATGCCACACTTGTGTCTTTGTCCATTATTTCTTTGAGCACAGTTTACAACAATGCAGTTGGCCCCTGTTTACTGGTATTGAGAACAACAACAAAACCAATTTAGAATATGGTAAAAACAGTGAGTTGCATGAAGCTCTACCATACAACTGTATGCTTACTTTTCACAAAGCAAAGCCCTATTTAGTATCTTTGCCATGTAAGCTCAAGTCCTGTTATATTTGTTGTTTATAAAACCATTTCAGTACTCCAGATGATACCATGCTTAATGGCAATAAGGACCCACAAAGTCCAAAAAAACATTCACAGATCTAGATCTATACAATTTCATAGGATTACTCATATGCACAAAAGGTTGCAGAATCAGGAGTTTAAAGAATTTCATAAAAAATGTATGACTTACATGGGTGGAAAGGTAAGCTTATTTTTCCCACTGAACTCCTTGTTTGTAGGAACATTCTGAATTTTGCTTTGATATTTAGGGTTTATAGCTGGAAACTTTACCTGTGTTACAGAAACCTTAATTAGTAAAGTAAGTTAAGATAAAAATGAATAAGAGGTGTGGAAAATGCGCCCTATTAAAGACTGAGAATCTTTCAGTGTTACCATTTTAGGAATATTATTTCCAGCAGTAGGCATAGAGGAACATAAGGCAATACTAAAAGGGAATACAGCACTTCTTTATCTGAGATGACATCAGCTGTCTGCTGTCTGTCCAGCACAGCAATAATTTGGACTATGGTCATTCATGACCTTTGTCTTGCTGTAGGCTTACTATCAAAATTATGTTTCCAGTTCAGACTTAGCAATTGCAACTTCTCATCATGGCTCAGTTCTCTACATGCAATCTCTGAAAACACTCTGGTCTTACTAAGGTCAATGTGACCAGAAATTCTGTTTAATTATAGCAATATTTTGGGGTAAAAAGCATATGGTAACCCATGTATAACTATAAAGGTATAGTTATACCTTTATATTAACTATTATACCTATATATTAACTACATTAATTTGGGGTTTGAGATTCCAACAAATCCAGATATATCGAGAAGCCTACAATGAAAGTATATATTACTAAATACTACCTTTATTTTACAAGTTAAAGACAGGTTAAGAAATCCAGTGTTGACTAGTGGTTATAGAGATCACTTCTTTGATTATATTGAGATATCCCAATAAGGTAAACAGATATAAAGACACCTAGGAAACTAGTAAAACAGCATTACAAGGTCTCGTAGTGAAAGTTAGAAAGTTACTGAAAAGTAATGGAGAAACATCAGCAATACATACCAGGGCTGTTTATTTTAACACTCATCACAATCAATGACTACAGAAGGACCAAACTTCCTTCAAATAAAATTGTTAAAACTAAATATCCTCAACTAATACCAGACATTTTTCATAAATAATTTAGAAGAAATTTGAGGTTTAAAATAAATAAAAATAACAAAGTGTTTAAAGACTAATTACACTGTGCTTCATTAAGAAAAAAAATAAAAAAGGAAATACCTGAAGATGCCATAAACTATTTTTAAATCCTTTCTATAATATGTTGTTTTATTAGTACTATATTGACCATTTTATCTTTTAAACATCCAAAACATGAGAGCACCCTATGGCATAAAAGATACTGACGGCCAGTTATTTTAAAGGAAGAAATGAGAAGAGAGTAACTAGAAGTGCTATATTGCTATAAAAAGGACATGAGGCATAAAGATACCCTGAACCTAAGCAGACTCACATACCACAGTATCATTAACAAGATTAAAAAATGCAAGAACAGAGAACAAAAGTTAGGTGCATAATGAGCAACTGTAAATGGATTGCAGACACTATAAAACATTTCACAGGAAAACATCAATGAAGGAAAATTCTAAAGCAGATAAAAATACACTGCAGAACAAAGGAGCACATGCAGATTCAGTTCGTAGAGTTCGGCTTTCAGACATTTCTTATAGAAACTAAAAGCCCATTCACCACAAGTCTCGTAAAATTTCTGTACAGAAAAAGCAAGACAAAAACCCAGATCAAATTACTTGCACTTACTGAGAGACAACAAGCATATACCTGTGTATGCTCTGCAGAACTCCATGACACCTTACAAAAGGAATCCTATCATTACCTCTGCTTTGTATTACCTCTGTTTTTACCTCTGCTTTTACCTCTGTTTACACAGCACCATGAGGTGTCTTGCATAAGCCAATGGAGCAGACTAGTGGCAGAGCTGGGAATAGATGGAGTTTAGGAAGCTCCAGTTCCCCATCCAGTGTGCTTATTTACCAGGCCAGTGTGCTCAGTTATTATTGCAATTACAAACTGTAGATGGGCTGAAAAAGTACTGGTAGTGAAATACAAAAAGTATTCATACATACATAAATATATAAAAAATGTACTTATATTTTTGTATTTCCTGTGTCTCCAGGAGGACAGCAATTAAAAACTGAAAACAACAACGAAAGGTAAATTCTATGATGAACAGGGAACTTCTCATACTACTACTAGAAGTATGTTGAATGTTAGGATATGAACAGTACCACTATCTAGTGAAGTTCCTCCTTTCGACTTGGGAAAGGAGGAAAAAAAAAAAAGAAAAAAGTATCCTTGAACAAAAAGCTGAATTCCAAAGCAAATGTCTAGGAAAAAGAAGGATTTCACACATGAGGGAGTAGAGTTAGTAGTGTAGCAGAAAGAATGCCTAGCTCTGGCGCAAACCCTGATACGCCTCTAGCTGATCTCCCACTAGATGCTAGATGCTAGAGGTCTGTCGCTAAAGGATGTTTCCATTTGGGCTAGTAATTTGTCATGTCAGTATGAGGATGAAAGTTGAATTCCTCACATGCTGATGATTCTTTGCTGCTTTGTGTAACTCTCAGAGGAAAGAAGGGTGCTTGCAATTGAGGCATCAGGAAGAGACTGGATCCATGCTGAGGCATAGAGAACAATATGATGGCTTCCCCCTGGTCTCCAGTCCTCCCATGCAAAATTATAGACATAAGGCACGTTTTAGTATGTGCAGTGGTGGAGATTTCAGTATTTCAGAGAAGAGTGGAATGAAATCTTAAACACCTGGAGCAAAGGTCACTTGGGAACTATGTGTGCTGATCTGAGCACAACTGGTACCCTTAGAGGTTTAAATGTTTTTGCATTTGTCCCTAAGGACATCCTTTGAGATTTCTCTCCGTAATTGCCCCATCATACCTCTCAGTTTTGGAGGACTAACTTGTCCTCCATTGTCTTACTGAAAGATTCCTGAGTGAAAGATTCCTGTGGGATGTGTTCTTAACAAAACACAGGATAGAAACCTCTCATAACAAGAGACAACTACTAGAAGTAGCTGTGAAAGAAAAGCACCATATGATGTCTCAAAGTATGAGAGATACTTCCCGCAAGCATCTCTTGTGGAACAAGAGAAACAGTAGTATAAGAAGAGAGCTACCAAAGAGGACAACCATTTTAGAAATGTTGCGGGGGAAAAGGAGGTGAGGGGAAGAATAATCCACAGATAATCTGATTCTTAGGCACTTAATCATAAAGAATCAGGCTTGTTATTTAGCATCTTTGGTGAAACTTAGCTTATACATAAGAAGTGGGTATATAGTGGCTATAAAACAAACGGAACCCACTTTAACAGCCATAGACTTCAATTTCATCTATTCTTGTCAAAATGAAATTTGACTACTCACAGCATTGAAGACAGTGAGTTCCTAAGTACAGGAGCGAGGGACAGTGCTTCATCTCCCTTCTGTTCTAGCCCTGTAAAGGGCTTCCACAGCCATTTTTATTTGTATTTTCAGTACTTTAAGACTCCGACAGAAATAAAGCTTCATCTAGTCACATCAGGCAAATTATAGCTCAAGCACACATTGTGTGTTTGACTGCTCACATAAAGAGGATGTTCCCAAGCCTGTTCTGAGAAAAAAGGTCTACTTACTTCTGTAAGCCATTGATCTGAACTTGCGTTAGTTACTCACGTCTGTCAAGGATGTTCTTAAAAAGTCAAGCATTTGCACTTTTATTTGAGTGGAAAATACTTATTGCTATTCAAGTATATTAGAAGTATTCCCATGGGTGCTCTGAAGAACTGTATTAACTGAGGCACACAAACTATAGGGCATATTAGAAACAAAAACAACATCAACAAAACCTATCAAGCTTAAACATATAAATGGAGAAGATGGCAAGAGGAAAGAGAGGCTGAGACACAGGTTTCCAGGACAAAACCAAGATATCACACGGACCTTTTTTATCTAACGGCAGTCTGCGCTATATTTATTCTGTGCTATCTACATGTTCTTAGGCTGACAGGGCAGTATCTTTCAGAAGCATCTTTGAATTTAAACTAAAACACAAGTTAAGTCCTTCTCTGAACAATCTTCTGTTCCTCCTCCTTCCCTCTTTCCCCTTTTTTCTCTTTCTTTCTTCCTCCTCCAAGACAGAGAACTATTGACTTTCATACACATTTAAAAACATGCACAATATAAAGTGATTGGAAATCAAATTTCTGGCTCAGATGCTCTACCTCAAGCACTTAGGAAAAGTGTAATTTTATTAGTGTTCTCTAGCCTCAATATAGAAAATTGCTTCTGGAATACAGAAATTGCATTGGACTATAGACTTTTTGGCCCTTATAAAAGGGAAGTTGATCAGAAACATCTTCACAATCTCTGCACAGAGAGCATCACTGCCAAGTGTTTCTCAATCATACCTTTTTTTTTCCTGTGTTCTCTTTATCTTCAGCATCCCGTTGCCAAACACTTTTCATATCGAAATCAAATGGTGCTCTTCTTGTCTCATAGTTAGTACTATGATGATCACTAGCCTTAAACTCTTTATGAATCATAAAATCCGGTATAGTAGAAACATGGTTCCTGAAGACAAAGATTTAGTGATTATTGGTACTATGGATAATTATGAAACATTTTATTAAAAAATAATCATCTGAAACACCAATGAATAAACAGAAATCCTAAGAAGTTATGTGGGATCTCAGCAGACTTACTGTGGCTCATCGGTTGTTGAGGAAGTAGAGCAGTGTGAGTACCAGTCAGGGGCAGCATATGCTACTGGAGATGACTTGCTTGTAGCAGGAATGTGGTGCTTCAGTAAGTCTTAGGATAAAAAGATGAAAGCTGCTAATTATCTGACTTTAGTAATAAATGCATTACCTTTATCTACAGAGTACTGCTTTGTCAGGAAGAGGGCTTTTTCTATTCAGTGTTACTCATATTTCTTGATAAAAACAAATGATGAGCACCTTTCAGCACTGCATTTCAACTGTAGCATGCATATTAGTTTAAATATTTTTGACATATTTCTATCATATGACATTGACATCATTGACCTATCTCAGTGCCTGAGAATTTGTACTCCTATATTGGTCATTCTACTCTAAGTTTACGTGCAAGCACCTATTCAAGTTTTACACTTCTTAACAGTAACGTAAATCATGAAAAATCCTGGTACAGGATCAGAGCATGTACAGAACTGTAAAGTGCTGAATGTCATTATAAGCAAAACACCTTATACATCTCTGCAAAGTTGTCTGATAATGCTTTCTGGGATGAGATGATATTTACCAGAGCATTACTTAAATATGTCTAAATCAAAAAGACTTCTCTATAATGCAGCTAAGCTGTCATACTGATCTCCTCAGATGTACATTAGACAGTATAAGACCACAGATTTTGGAAATGAGTAGCTAAATTAAAAACAGACCACAAAGATTAGATTATTAGATTACATTTTCAATCAATAATTTTTTTTTCATAGTTTAACTTTCAAAATTCCAGAATATTCTTCTGAAACATTCATAAACTTTTTCTACCACAAACCAAACTAGAAGAAAAACAAGCAAATAAAATAATAATAATAATAATAAAAAAAGCAGATGTTCACCAGGTCGGCCTCCTTGCTTTGCCAGCTTTACATATTCTGAATCAGTATCTTTGATCCATTTCCTGCGGCCCCCAAACATCTTTTCATCATGAGGTTCTGCAAGATCACTCAGACCTGGAATCTGGGATGTTGGAGGAAGTGGGATTTCTGAGTTCACCGGTTTCTCTGGCTGCTTCAGTGGCACGTGGTAGTACCAATCTACAGTAAAAGAGAAGAAAATATTTAACTTTTACTGCTAATGTTCTTTCTCCGGTAGCAAAAGTAACAAACTTTGTTATTTAAGATTCAAGAAAGTTCATTTGAACTTATGGAGGGAGCACAGTGCACAAGGCTTTCAGAAGATCAGATAAAGATACAGAAGTATTGCTTTTGTTTAAAAGATTTAGGTTTCAAGTCTTCACTGAAATACACAGCATCATGTAGTTTCATGAAGAAAATGAGACCAAGGACACGAAAAGCAGTAAGCTGCATAAACCCATCCACGGTTGGTTTTCTTTGCTCCTTACCTATCAACAAAAGTAACAACAGTATTCTAATTTTTCTGTTTGCAGCCTTTACTTGTTCAAAAAGAAAAAAACCTTTCTCATCTTCTGGTGTTGAAAAGAAAAAAAAAAGAAGGAAAATAGTGTATCAGCCAAGAAAAAAATAGCTAAAGAGTTTTGCTATGGAAGACAGAGGAGTTCACAGAAATGATCTCACCTGCCAAAAATACTGTTACATATGTATAAGTAAACTATCTTAAGGCAGACATCCTGTTAACAGACATGCTATTAACTTATCATATCAAGCACAACATTAACTATGCTGAAACCTCGCTAATGGAAGAACCCGCTTTGTTTGGTGGCAGGAGGCAAAGATGTATTAGACTGTTTTCTTTCATCACGCTTTCTAATTAAGTCCATCAGGAACTGCTCTACCTAATTATCTCAAAAGTTCGTATTCAACTTGCTAGGTTACCACCACCTTGGAAATCCAAATCTTTTCATAACTTAGGACTGAGGAGTTTTTCAAAAGCTGTAAATCGACTGGGAAGGTTTGTATTTCAATGGAAAATGGCAATAACTGACTCGAATTTTCCTGTAAAATAGACTGGTGGACCCAATCTAACAAGCTAAAATCTACTGGGATTTAACTACCATACAAGGTGTTTTAAGATTTTTTTTTTTCCCGTAAGATCTCCTAGTTAATCTCTGCAAAATGGAAAAATGGTGTAACAAAATACAAGAGCTGTGTTAAAATTATCTGGGCACGGCACGCATGCTTAGAGCTCAGAAAATACTTTAAAAAAGAGTAAGTTAGGTGGGAACATGTCAGAAATGTTTAAAATGAGGCCAACCCACCACAGGTAGGAAAAAGCAAGTGATCAGCCATCTCCACATTGGGCTGTTAACATCTCCCCACAGCCCACCCAAAACAAACAAAAATCCTCTCCTCCTCTTGGGGAAAAATAAACAAACAAACAAGCAAAAACTTTTAGACTTGTTTGCCAGAATTACCCCCAAAATAAATAAAATCCTTGCCCTGACCCCCAGCCAGCTCCAGCCCAGGTCTGCGCAGTGACTGCCTGACGGGGCGCCACGCGCCCCTAACCCCGGGAATTGCGCACGGGGAAAAGGTTTCTGCGGAGCAACGCGACGCGGCTGCGGGCACAGGCAACGCGGGGCGCCGCCACCCGAAAACGGCCACGTTGGCTCGCGGCGCTGGGAAACGCGCGCTGCGGCGCGGCGCGGTACTTGCCGCAGGCGGCG